GTGAAGCCCCAAATAATATTGGGGTTTTGTTAGTAAGCAGCCCTGAAGAGTCAAGTAGCCACAGCTGTGGTTTGCAAAGTATAAACAACAGGTTCAGTGCCAAGCCCACTGGCATTGTACTATGCAATGGGGGATGTCTTTTAAGGTAATTTAAACTTCTATTCTCATAGGAAATGCTAAGAAATATAATGACTTCCCAATATACTCCTTCCAACAAACTTTTATCCTTTCTGTTCCCTTTGCCTGGAAAACACCTTCTCCAGGGATCTGCAGGGCTTTATGCCTTCTTCATACCTCTGCTTAATGTTGCCTCATCAGTGAGGTCTTCCCTGATACATGAGAATGGATTCAGGTTTTTGCAGAGTCTGAAGCCTACACAGTTTGAGAGGACCCTTTAAAAACAGAAAAAAAATTGTAAATGTCAAATCGAATATTTACATATAAAATGAGTGATGCATTAGATGAGAAACCACAAGTTACACAATTGAGAAGCTTATAACTACTACAAATATAATAAAACCCAGAAGAATAACATAAGTTTTTATTAACTAACTAGAGGCCTGGTGCACAAAAATTTTTGCACTCGGGGGGGAAAGGGGGCCCCTCAGCCTGGCCTGTGCCCTCTCGCAGTCTGGGACCCTTCAGGGGATGACCACCTGCTGGCTTAGGCCCGCTCCCTGGGGGATTGGGCCTAAGCTGGCAATCAGACATACCTCTGGCAGCCCGGCAGCCCTCGGGGATATCCACTTGCCAGAGGGGAGCAGGCCTAAACTGCAGTCGGACATCCTTAGCACTGCTGAGTAGGCAGGAGAGGCTCCCACCACCAACACTGTACTGGCAGCCATCAGCCTGGCTTGTGGCTGAGCAGAGCTCCTCCCATGTGAGAGCGCCCTGACCACCAGAGGGCAGCTCCTGCATTGAGCGTCTGCCCCCTGGTGGTCAGTGTGTGTCATAGTGATCAGTCATTCCCAGTCCTTCTGCTGTTAGGGTCAGTTTGTATATTACCCTGTTACTATATAGGATAGAGGCCTGGTGCATGGGTGGGGGCTGGGTGGTTTGCCCTGAAGGGTGTCCTGGATCAGGGTGGGGGTCCCGCTTGGGTGCCTGGCCAGCCTGGGTGAGGGAATGATGGCTGTTTGCAGCTGGTCACACCCCCTTCAGGATGGGGGTCCCCACTGGGGTGCCTGGCCAGTCTGGGTGAGGGGATGATGGCTGTTTCCAGCTGGTCACACCCCCTTCAGGGTGGGGGTCCCCACTGGGTTGCCTGGCCAGTCTGGGTGAGGGGCTGAGGGCCGTTTTCAGGCTGGCGGGTGACTGAAGCTCCCAACCTCTCCTTTTTTTCTTTTTCTTTTTTTTATTCTGGGATTTATTTACCTTCTATGGCTGTCACTGGAACTGAGAGCTGGCTTTAGCTCTGAGGCTCAGCTCCAGCTCTGAGACCTCGGCTGCTGAAAGCAGGTATCTGGTTTGTTTGGGTTCTATAATTGAAACACTGTTGCAACTCCAGCTCGGCCGGCTGGCTGAAAGCATGAGGTTTGTTTAGCTTCTATATTTGCAACATTGTTTCTTAGAGTGCAAGCTCAGAGCCCAGCAGGGGCAGGCGGGGAACCTTGGCTTCCTCCTTCACTGGAGCAAGCAAGCCTCCTGTTCGCTTCAGCTGCCTGGCTGCTGGCCGTCATCTTGGTTGGCAGTTAATTTGCATATCTCGCTGATTAGCCAATGGGAAGGGTAGCGAAGTTACAGTTAATTACCATGTTTCTCTATTATTAGATAGGATAACTAGACATACTTCTTTAATCCCTTTTCCTAATTTATTGACTACATATTCTTTGATACTCTCTACATGTGACTACCTAAAATTTTTTTATTAAAAAAATAGAAAGATAGCCCAGTCTTTCCTATTGAATGATTCATAAACACTTTTTAAAAAACATTGATAGTTTAGAAGAGTTTAGCTTCTAAGCAACTTGTGATTGATAATGTCATGTAAATTATTAGGATTGCTGTCAAATTTGGGACAACATGAATCAAAATGTTTTAAAATATTTCTTGAACTTTAAAATTTTAGGAAATATCAACTTTTTAATGCATTGATTAATCTTCAATAGTCTTTGAGATACTCATTAACTTGATTGTCATTGATGTCCTTATTGTAGTAGCATATTATATACAGTTTTTTATTATCTTTGTTGATATCAATTTTGTGTGTCCAATTATCAAGTAATTAATAATCACAAGATTATTAACATGCACATGCATTTATTTGCATTTTCATGAAACTTAAGGTTTGTGGGGAGACTCTGAGCAGCAAGCTTCCCCTTCCTTTCATAGAGGGTGTTATTTGGTGCTGATGGACCTAGTAGCATGATGACACCAAGAAATTTTCCAGACTATTTTGATCTTTCTTCAAAACTTATGATAAGAAAAGTTAGATATACTTTTGTGGAGAGTGATCTAATTGTCACAACTCAGATAGCTCTTAGAATATTCCTTCTGAGCTGTGGATCCTGGTGTTCAGAGCATTAGGAGGACGGGACTGCATATATATCACCAAGAAATAAGAAAAGAGCTAATGTAAGGAAAATTGCATTTCCATAGAAACAGCCTTCAGCCTGCACTGTGTGTGTGTGTGTGTGTGTGTGTGTGTGTGTGTGTGTATGGTGGAGGGTTCATTAATTTTTCTTTTTTATGTTTGAAGTGTTCAGTATTTAAAAGACTAGATGTAAAACTCTGTTCAAAATAAACATCACCTTTCTCTGATGCCAAAAACAAATGCACTGTCAAACAAGCCAATTATTCACGAGCTTTCCTCACACTTTCTTTCCAGGACTTTCATATCTTTTTTTTTTTCTTTTTCTTTTTCTTTTTATAGAATGGCCTCTATTGCAAAGGAAATAAAATAATTTTGGTAGAATACACCCAAATTGGCCTGGCTAATTGGCTCAAGGAGATTCTACAATGAGCTTATCCAGGCCCTAATCCTTAAAAATTCACTCCTTCTTCCCTCTATTCCAGTGTTTTTCTCTGATATTCTTATTAAAACTCTAATTTGTCATGGGAGGATGTTCAGAACGCAAGCCTGGCCAGTGTAACACCTTACCTGCCTGCCAACTGGGATTAGTTCTGCGCCAAAGTTCTTCCTTGAGATTTTTTAAAGCCACAGTTGAGGGAAGAAAGCCTTTTCCTCTTTGCCTGTGGATCTTTGAGGATGTAAGCCTGGCAGCTGCCTGCCATGTGGAGAAAGTGGCGGTGCAGAAGGAGGCTGAAGCTGATGGATGGAGCTAAAGAAGAACTGTGAGGTGGAGATTTTGAGATCAATGCTACCACTCTTTCCTTTTGCTTGTCAGCTGATTTCTTTTCTTCTCTCTTCCTTTTCTTGCTCCCTCCTTTTTCCCCTTTTCCCCCTTCTTCTTTTAAGCTAAGAATTATGGATTTCCAGCTCTGGCAACCAGAGTCCTAATGGACACAATAAATCATATATTTTCTTCCTACTTGGTAGTCTAAAACTCAACACAGATATAACAAGATGTTTTTTGTTAACTCTAATATATTTTTTCTGGAGAGAAATTTTGCCACACAGAATTTTTGCTATTGTTTAAATATAAGAACATTTGAAGGAAAAATACATTATTGTGTTTCCACAATTGGTCAAATTCTTTCTGAGTGGATGGACATTGTCAGGGGTCAAGAGGAAGAAGGCTGGAAGTGACCCCTCCCCAGCCTCCACGTCATGGTGTCTCCTTGTGTGCATGCTGACAGCATGGACATGGTGCCCAGAGTGGACTTACAGGAAAGGCTGGCGGTGGAGCTGGGCTCCGAATGTGGCCCATGAATGGTTTGTTACTCAGAGGAGGGAGCTGCTATGCTCTGGCCCAGGGGTGATGACAACTGGCCTTTCTCAGCTTAGGGAGGTGAGTCTCTCCTTTTTCCTAGAATGCAGGTTACCCATGTGTTCAGAGACGCCTAGGGTTTCCTGCCTGCTCCTCCTCCCGACTTCCTCTCTCCCAGGCTGAGATCATAGGTGCCATGTTCTCTTTCGTCACTCCTGAGAAGAGTTTCACTCCCTTTAAAAACTACATGCCTTTAGTACCTTAAAAAATAGCTTTCAGGTGGGAATGCAAAAGGATGCAGCCACCATGAAAAAATATGGAAAGTCTTCAAAAAATTAAAAATAGAACTACCATATAATCCACCAATCCCACTTCTAATACTTATCCAAAAGATTTGAAAAGAAGCTTGAAGAGATACCTTCACACACTTGTTCACTGGAGTATTATTCACAATAGTTAAAAGGTGGAGTCAACCCCAGTGTGTATAGATGGATGAAGAAAATACAGTATAAAGTATGCAACAAAATATTATTCAGCCTTATAAAAGAAGGAAATCCTAAACCTGATACAAAAAGACAAATACTGAATGATTTCACTTACATGACTTATCTAAAGTAGTCAAACTCATAGAAACAAAAGGTAAAATGATGGTTGCCAGGGGCTGTGGGGAGGAGAAAATGGGGAGTTATTGTTTAATGGATATAGAGCAGCTGTGGGCAAACTACGGCCCGTTTGAAATGAATAAAACTAAAAAAAAAAAAACCGCACCCTTTTATGTAATGATGTTTACTTTGAATTTATATTAGTTCACACAAACACTCCATCCATGCTTTTGTTCCGGCCCTCCGGTCCAGTTTAAGAACCCATTGTGGCCCTCGAGTCAAAACGTTTGCCTACCCCTGGTATAGAGTTTCAGTTCTGTAAAATATAATATAAATTCTACAGATTTGTTGCACAACAATGTGCGTAGTTAACACTACTAGATTGTACACTTAAAATGGTTAAGGTAGTAAATTTTGTCATGTGTTTTTAATCACAATTTTAAAAATTAGACTTCAAGATTATAGTTCCATCTTTTAAGCAGGAATGGTGTACAATGCATAAATCGGAGAGTCCAGGCCTTCCTTTCCTTTGCCCCATGCTTAGTCTCTTCCCATCGCTTACCCACTGCAGCGGAGTCAGCCTCTGGATCTCGGGATTTTCTGTGAAGGATCAGAAGGTAGTGGGGTGGTAAGACAGCAAGGGGCCTAGGGAATTAAAAATGAAGTTGCTTCTCAAGAGTTTCTGAAAAGAGAAGAGAAGAGAGAGAATTGGTGTGGGAAGATCAAGTCTACCACTAGCCTATGTGGAAGCTTTGTGCGGATTGGGAAAAGAGGCCTCTCGGGGTGGATAAAGCCCACCTGCTCAGTGGCTGACATCTTTCTTTGAAGATATGGAAAACCTTCCTCCAACAAGTAGAGTCCCACTAGAGCCATCTACTGAGGTGAGAGTGCAGGCTAGATCCCGTTCCCCTGGCTGGTGTGGTTCACTTGGTTGAGTGTTGTCCTGTGCACTGACCTGTCAGGGCTCATACACAGGTTGCAGGTTCGATCTCCAGGTCAGAGCATGTGCGGGAGGCAGCTGATTGATTCTCTCCCTCCCCCTCTCCCTCTCCCTCTCCTCCCCCCTCCCTCCCTTTCCCCTCCCCTCCTCCTCCCCTCTTCCTTCCCTCCCCCCTCCCCCTCTCCCTCTCTCTCTCTCCTCTCCCTCTCCTCTCTCTCTCCTCCCCCCTCTCCCTCCCCTCCCCCTCCCCCTCCCCCTCTCCCTCTCTCTCTCCCTCTCCCTCTCTCTCTCCTCCCCCTCTCCCTCCCCTCCCCCTCCCCCTCCCCCTCTCCCTCTCCCTGTCCTATCCTCCCTTTCCCCCCTCCCTCTCCTCCCCTTCCCCACTCCCTGTCCCTGTCCCTGTCCCTGTCCCTCTCTCTCCCCTTCTCTCTGTACCTCTCTATTCTTCCCTAAAAAATAAAAATCAATAAAGATGACATAAGAGTCTCTGGTAAGGGCAGTGTATGGGAGAAAAGCGATATTAAAAATGTATAAGTAGAGCCAGAAATTATGTCCCCTTCATAAGTTTAAGTTTTTAAAAAGCATTTAAGATTTCAAATAAATTATGAAATAATGAGAAACATATAAATGTGTATAAATAATGGTATAGCAGACACCCATGCATAGAACCAAGGTTTAACATGGATCAACATATTGCTGCCACATTTTCTTCAGACACTGCAGTTGCGGATATGTTCTTACTAATGTTACAGACACAGATGAAATTCACTGTGGTCCCGTCTCATTCCTCTTCCTAGGTCTCCAGAAGTGAACCTCATTCTGAAGTTAATATTTATTCTCCTTGCATCTAAAGCTTTTCCACATATGTTTGTATACATAAATAATATATAGCATTTTTGACATATTTGAATGGTTATATAATATAATATACTTTTGAAACATATTGTGTGCATTTAAGATTATTTTTTGAGATATTTTCATTTTATTATATGTAGAATTTTAATTCCTCTATAGTACTCCATTGTATGACTACCAAAATGCTCATCCATTTCCCTACTGAAGAAGAGTGTGTTCCTGTTCTTATGAACCTATAAGGTAAGAGTGTGTCCACTCTGTTACTTCCTTCGTGCAAACAGAACTACTTATGGATTGCTCTGAAACCCCAACATTCTTGGGGTGAACATTTATCTTAGCTCCCTGTAGTCAAAGCTGATGCATTCAGAAAAAACAAAACCCATTCTTAGAAGCTTCCTGCCCTGCCTCTGGCCTTACCTTCCTAGCCCTCTCCCGCAAGCGCTCTCTCCGTCATCAGGGTCATGAAATGCTGTGGTTCTCCCAACCCACAGAAACGCTGTGCAGAGGACCATGTTCCTGAGTTTGAGTCCAGGCTGAAATTTAGCCCTAAGACTTTTGAAACTTTGATGACAAGGGTAGACGTAGAACAAAAATATTATTTAAAAGCTTTGGTTTTCTCTCTTCTCGGGAGTGGAACAGAGACTTGAATACAGGTTGGGGTCAACTGTTGCTTTGTCTAGGACAAACTTTTGAATGAGACATTGAGTTTCGCAAACTCAAAGTAGTGAGTGCAACCAAACAAGATGCTGAGATCAATGGCTCCAAGCAGCTCCTCATAAAAATACACAGCATTGTCTACGTGGTAAGAACACTCGCATCTCTGCAATACTGCCCCTTGGACTGATTTATTTTCTAAGCGGCATTGATAGTGTTTGAGTCTAAATAATGCTGTTATTACTTGTGGAAGTAGATAATTTATTTTTGTAAACAGTTATTGTAATTGGGGCTGAGACATGGGAGCTGAAGGAATTGTTTCCATGAAGTATTTTGTGCAACTCCGGTCACAAGCACGGCTACTCTGGGGCATGGTTGCCAAACAATTATTTGTTGAATTAAGTGACAGCAGGCTTGGAGTTGGGGTGCAGGTCATTCTTTCCACCTCCTCATGGACACTGGAGTCCTGTGAAGAGATCCAAGAACTGGAGCTACAGTAAGGAGTCATTGTGGCCTGTGAGCAGGAAGGCATACAACCAAAAAAAAAAAAGAAAAAAGAAAGAAGGAAGGAAAGAAAGAAAGAAAGAAAGAAAGAAAGAAAGAAAGAAAGAAAGAAAGAAAGAAAGAAAGGAAGGAAGGAAGGAAGGAAGGAAGGAAGGAAGGAAGGAAGGAAGGAAGGAAGAAAGGGCAGCAGCCGGCCTCTGGCTGCAGCAGAGGGGCCTTTGGTTAGCACATCTGATCACCTTTTTGGGGACTTCCAGAAATAATTAGGAGACATTTTATGGGGGCTCAGAAATCAGTCAGATAATACATTGGAACTTGAACGTTAAGCATTCATACAACCTTATTGATATTCACAGAGTATTGAAGAATTTGTGCTGGTAAAGAATGGAGACTGTACAGCTGTTTTCTTTTGCCTTCTGAGGAGCAGTATTGGAAATAATGGCTGTGTTTCTTCCTGTCCTAATGCACAGAAATCCTTTGGAAAGTGGTGAATTTTGCAGGGAGTATTTTAGGCTTGAAAAGGAGGCAATTATAGAATAGAAATGGGAAGATTTTTAGCTGGCAACCCCAGAGGGCATGATTTATAAATGTACTTCATATATATTTTGGATTTAATCCCTACTTTTTTTGTCTAATCTAAATGTTAAGAGTTAGAAAGGTCAAATTCAAACACCTTTCCACTATCCAAGATTGAGGTTTCACACTGATTTTTATAATATTTTAATCTAAGTATATACTTTAAAAATATCCTTGAGTAATTGTCTCCTTTAATACCTAATTATTAATTGGACGAAGATGATATATTTTACTTTGACTGTATTGGTTGGATTTCCAAATACACTTGGCATACATAGATAATGAATGGCAGCAAATCCATCCTTGAGAGCTGGGAGACACCTCACTACTTCTCTGGATCACTGTGGGACTTTAAAGCCCTAATTTTTAAAGGTATCGGTTTACTGTTGCTTTTAATTTCATTTTGAATGATAAAGCTCTCTGCGACCTTGCTGAAGAGGGCTGTATGAATTTATTATATTGTTCTTATTACTGGTCATACATTATCCATGCAGTATTAACGGGAAAACCAGGAGAGATAAGGTAAGATTTTAAAGTAAGAGACTCATTTACAAGAAGCGAAAACCTTATCGCCTTTTCCTTTTCCTCTTTCTTTTTTTTTTTCAGGTTCATCATTTTTCTGCCTCTGCCTTCTTCTGTTAGCTTGTTAACAGTATAGTTTCTATAGCAACACCTATTGGTTGTTGTAATAATGAAAGCCACAGCAAGATCTCCTGCAGAGAAATCCTTGATGCTGACAAGATCAACTCATACTGTCTTTGTCTGACGTTTCCTATTTCTTCTTGGAATAACCCTTTGAGCAGAATATAAAAATCTCTACTAATTACCTGTGAAATAAACAGCTGAAGTCAGGCAGCCCCAACAGCACATCGGATGTTAGCTTTATTCCAGCAACGGTGAGATGTGCCAAAAGGAAGCCAATTTCTTTAGCTATAAATTTCACTAGCCAGCAACGTTAACTTGAGATAAAATGAAGGTCAGTCCACTTCTTCCAATTTGAGGTAAAAGCTTTTATTAGAAAAAATTTCCCAATGTACTCAGGTTTTAGCACTTCATCAAAATAGCAAAAGTAAATGTCTCATTTTAATGTATGATTTAGAATAACAGGTCAGAAATAAAAGATTGAATGCTAATTCTGATAAGATAGGTTTGGTTAACCATTTTGACAGCCACTTACACTAAATCTTATCGTTTACTTCTATATTTTGGAGCTATTGGGGGCCATTTCTTCTATCTAATGTTCCTTTCCTGAATTATTCAGATAACTGCATTGCTTATCCATTTTGCTTTATGTGATGCATTTATCCTTATTAAATGGAAAGAATTAATAAGTTATAAGTTTTCTTTGTTGCAAATTTACCCACTGTGCATCATTAACCAAGAATAAAGTATTAATGCTGAAAATATACCTTAATATCTATTCCCAGGTCCTTGATGAGTTGATCTCTGGCCTTATTTCCTATCTCTTCTGACTTCTTTTTGAAGTCTTTCTGATTCCCATATAAACTTATCTATTTACTTTTTGTTTTAATGATCCCCTTCTTGTTTTCTCATGAACAACAACAAAAATTTAGTTGGACTCTGAAAATCTACATTAATTCTTCCCAGTCACTAGCCATCTATTCCATAAATTTAAATCGTTTTCTAAGGGTTTAAAATAGTTTACCCATCTTCTAATAATTTAAACATTTAATATCATTTGAAGTCTTAATGGCTAGGAATCAAAGCAACATTAAATGATATAAAATGTTTCAATTTCAATTATAGACATTGAGAATGTAGACAAAGTATTTAATTAAATTAAAACCCAGAAATTGACAAGGACCAAAAATCTTATTTCCTTTTCCAATGTTTTTAATATCCTTGTATTTACAAAAGGTTAAAACGTCTACCAATCAAACTGCTGCAATTTTCCAAAGCTGTTATCTTTTTAAAATACATAGATACACACATACATATAGAGCAGAGTTTTATTCATTTACTAGAGGCCTTCCCTCCCCTCGCTGCTGGCACCAGCTTCCCTCGCATCCTGGACCTCGTCTGGAAGGTCATCCAGTCTAATTAGCATATTATGCCTTTATTATTATAGATAATTAGAAAAAAAGTAAGAAAAAACTTCTTGGTAATGTTAACTATGGTAAATGCCTTCCTAC